GAGAGAGAGAGAGAGGTATTGCTAGCTATAGTTGTAAAGTCAATAGCGAAATTTTACTTGTAGTTTGATTTTGATGTTTATATTTGTAAGTCATTATTGAAATTCTACTTGTAATTTGGTTTGGATGGTTATATTTGTATATCATTATTGAAATTTTACTCTTGAACCCCAACATGATGGATTAATGGTAACAGTTCTCTCTCACATTTTTAGGAGATGTATATTGTTGAGTTTGATTAGAGCAGAGTTTTAAAATCTGACGATTCCGTATCCCGACTGCCGATCTGGATGGTAATCGGTTGGGACCGAACTTGTTCTAGGATGGTACGGATCTAGGCCCGGTTTCCCTTGTTTCAGTATCAATAATCTTTATGTTGGCCTGAAAATTTATTTTCAACTCTAAGTGTAAAATTTAAAGATTAAAAAATAGTGTGAATTGAGCATATCTATGAACACTTGAAAATTTTGAAAATTGGAAGTCTAGATGATGCATTACAAGATGCACTATTTCCAAGATTTGAAATCTATTTTTTCTTATGTCCATAGATCGTGAAGTTGAGATGATCTAATTAAGGGTTTTTCAGCATTGAAACAACCTCTTGTAGTGAAAATTTGAGGTGCGCCTTAATTTGACTATTTAGGGCCTCAACCCTTATATAAATTTTTCCATAATTAATCTCCATGTGTTTAGCCTGCGCATGAGACAAGATTTGTAGTCATATATGTGGCACTGATATTATCACACCATAGTATTGGTGGGTCCCATGGTAAGACTCCAAGATTTCTTAAAGGATATTGGGTTCACACAATTTCTGCTGCCGTGTTGGCCAGGGTGCAGTATTCGGGATCAGCTGTAGATAGAGCCACAATAGGTTGCTTCTTCGCACTTCAGGACTGGTTACCAAAAAGACGTATTAGCCACTTGTGGATTGTTGATCATTAGGATGACCATTGTCATTAGTGTTTGAGATGGCAAGAAGATGAAGAGGGGAGGAGCGTCTGAGAAATAGCATGTAAGATATGTTCTTGAGATAGCACAAGATGTGTATAATTGTGGACCAATGATCAGAAGTGAGGCACTGCATAATTGGTATGCTTGATTAACAGAAAAGGGATTGTTTGGTGTTGTGAAGGTAAGATACTCCAGTGCAATAGTCAGTGTCTAAGAATGCAGAAGGCATTGCCTAGAAGGTTGTGTGAATCACAATAAGGGCAGAAAGGGGGGGGGGGGGTTAGTTTATAGTATGAAGTTTCCATAGGTCTAGGCTTTATGAAAACAAAATAAGGCTGCGAACGAAGTCGTGGCCGGCAACGAGCAACCTCTGCCATAGTCACGAGTTGATGCAACAAGCCAAGCCAGTGGTAGCAACATAAAAGCACAAGTTGAAGAGGGTTTTTTGCTCTTGCGAAGCACTCTCAAACAAGAGCTTTGCTTTACCTGCAAAGCACTCTCAAACAATAGCTCAGCCTCACCTCAAATCCTTATCTGGAAAGCACTTTCAGCAACGGAAATCTCCATGATGGCTTTAAAAGCAATTTCCAACACCAACAAAAAAATTTGAAACTCAAAGTGGTACATATATTGCGGATCTGTGAACACTAATTTTTAAGGCGAAATGGACAGTCTAGGTAATTTGTTACAATATACACTATTTTTAGAGCTTGAAATCCTAATATTTTTTCACAACCATGATGTTCAAGTCGAAATGATTGATGTATAAGGTTTTCCAATACTTGAATTGCAATTTTTGATGAGTTATGAGGTGAGGCTTTATTTATTTTGATAGGCCTGCAGCCCTATCAAACCATTTTCCTTATATATATATATATATATATATATATATATATTAGTTA